ATTTTTAGAGAGAGGGGAAGGGAGGGAGAAAGAGAGACAGAAACATCAATGTGTGGTTGCCTCCAACGTGGCCCCCACTGGGGACCTGGCCGGCAACCCAGGCATGTCCCCTGACTAGAATCGAACTGGCGACACTTCATTTACCATATTTTACATTTTAAATAGTATTGTTTACTTCTATTGTTTACTCCCTTATGCTAGCGAGGCTGACACACAGTGAGTAATTGCCGAGTGACTGCAATTCGTTCCGAATTCCTTCACTGCACGAATGTCGGTACTTGGACACGATCAGTAATTGTGAATTGTCACCTGGGCAAATACATAACCGGATAGGAAATCACAAATCGGGGGACTCTCCTAAGGAGAACTATACACTTATTTTATTCCATATGCTGTTCATTCATCGGTTCATTCATTTGGTGGATAGGTCCCTTTATTCAACACACACACAGAAGAAGCACTACCTGGCGGACTCTGAACTGTCAACTTTCTCCCTGCGGTTGGACCCGAGTAAGTCACGGCTGTGGGGCTCAGCATTCACACCCGCCCTCCTTTGATCTGAAACTGTCCTGAAGTTCCTCTTAGAGCTCAAGGCTAAGAGGATAAGAATACGCTTTAAAATGTTGACTAGCCCTGGCTGCCAGGAGAGTTTGCTCACCAGACCTATCTGGGGCAAAAAGCTGTGCCCTGAAAATGTAAGAAGTTTATGTTTCCCCAGAGTGAGGAAACTACGAAATAATAATAATTGGTTCTGTAAAATAACATAACCCTTTCGGATTTCTGAAAACCTCAGTCTCTGCAGCTGTTAAGGGCACTCCACGCCCCCCTTTCCCACTTGAATTTACTAGAGCGATGATCATTTTCAGGTTTATTTGTTTTCTTCCTCCTACCTCTCTCTAGGGATTGAAAAGCAGTTTGTCCTGTACTCTGCAGGATGTATCCCGTTTGCCGGAGAACCTCATTTGCCCCCCGCCACAACGAGGATGCAGAAGGACCAACAGCAACAACAATCAAGATACCAGCTGCCTCACTCACACAGAGAAGTGTCTCCCCTGGTAAGAGGCGTGCCTCAACCCTCCGCAGGGCACCTGCTCCCCAGTGACGCAGTGGAGTACAGAGATGGTTGCAGAGTCCTGGGGGACAGAGGGTCTCCTGGAATATTCCGCCCCGTCACCGTGACTGAAGGAGCGCATAACAGTGAACCCCTCCCAGGGGCCCCCTTACTCTTATTCCAAGTCGGTGCCGCAACGCCCAGGGACACCGGAGACTGTAGAATGCTCCGATTTTTCATAAAGTTCTAGTAAAAAATGTAACCCTCCTCCTGGATGAAGATGTTCTTTCTATGGAACTTATGTCAGTGAAACTGACTTAACTTCAGGCAAATTTCCCTTGTGGCTGGGGATTTGCCCTTGACTCCGCCTGATGCTCACCCAGGAACAGTCAAATTCTCGGTGTTCCGGGAACCTCTGGTTACCACCACCCACAACAACACTCCGCCTGTCCTCTGGCACCAGGTCTGCGAACACAATCTGCTGGAAATGCGGATGCCCGGCGCCCTCCTCCTACCATCTCCCACTAACCCCAGCTCTAGAAAATTCTGTTCCTATATAGTTGTCAACACCAGACAGATGACTCTGAGTGTCCCTGATGTTATCTCTAAGAGGGCAGAAAGCGCTGAGGAGTTCGCAAGGTAGGCCCTTCTGGTGAGTGCATTTCCCGTGCACAGTCGGGAACAGGCACTCGGAGGGGCCAGTGGGCCAGGGCACAGACGGCTCCTGTGCCCAGCCTCTGCACTGGCTCAATCTCCCCAAGGAGCCCCTTCCTTTCAGAGGCCACAGCTCCTTTAAAAAGGACCTTTCTGACCTGATTCGACTGTGTTGCCCGGGGTACTTGAACTGGGAAGAGGAGTTTCCAGGAGGTACCTGCAAAGGGGGAGGTTTGTTGAGTGAGATCCTCAGGCTAACAGTAATGATGGGAAGTGAAGGGTTCCCCCCCTCCACCGCCCCGCACTTACTGTCTGGACAGAGGATCGGAAATTACAGTGCAAGGACAATGAAGAGCACAACCTTGGTGGTGCTTTTCCTTTGTCACCTAATTTGGGAAACATTTGTGTATTCATTCAACAAACGTTTACTACCTACTGGTGGCCCGGAGTTGTGTCCTGCGGGAGCACTTTGCTCAGGCAGCCCGTTCGCCCTTCTGCTGCTTCCCCACCACCTCCGGACGCAGGTGCCTGACTGCCAACTGCGGGCCCTCTGGGGGGCCTCAGCGCCCCCAGGGCCAGGGCCAGGGCCAGGGCCAGGGCCAGGGCCCAGCTCATTCGTTCGCCTCCCTCACAGACCAGGTCCACCCCGGATCTGAGTCCTGGGGAACTGGTAGCATCGTTCCTTGCTCCGGCTAGAAAGTGGCGGCCACAGTGTGCTGGATGCTTTTCTCTGGACAAAATTTACCGCCCAACGCATATCCGGCTCGGCCATTCTTTTTCTGAGACGTTTCTCCGGTCCTGTCTTTCTCTCCACCCCCCTCCCAACATCCTACTGCATGCCCTCTCCCCATGCTCTCCCCTGTCATCGCCCCCCAGCGCGTGCAGGACGGAGACCACCTGAGGCCCCTCGCACCGGTGCCTTCTCTTAATCCAGCGTGCTCTCCTTCCCCATGTCCCCTCACCCCCCTGAAGTTCCAAGCCACCCTGTGACTTGCCCTGGCGCTGCTTTCCCGGGTCTGAGTTTGCTTCTCCCGTTTCTATTGGGGAACCCGTGTTCCTCCCCTGAAGTGCACCTCGAGGCCACCTCCTCTGGGCGTCTTTCCCGACCCCTCTCGGCCCAGTGGTTCTCGGAAGGGGCGGGAACGTGTGTCCGGGGGCCTCCCCGGCAGCGGAGAAGCTCGTCACAGCACAGGTGTCTCTGAGGACCCCGGCGGCCTTGGGTCTGTCCGTTACTCGCCCTCGTCTTCCAAGCATCTTACACAGTTCAGCGCCCGCTCGTCCGCACTGGTGGACCACGTGCTTCGGGACAGCCACACCTGAGCCGTCCTACACCTACAGCACTTAGAAGTCACGTCCTTAAGGTGCTCGTGGTCCCTCGCGCCTACGACAGGCCGGGGACACGGCCGAAGGTTCCTGCTCAGGGGAACAGGGCGAGACGGCGCTGCCGGGCTCCGGTGGTCCTGCCTGTCTAACGCTGAAACTAACCCAAACAGACCCAGCTGAACGCCAGCGACGACAGAGTGGGCGAGGCACTCGTGGGCGAGGCACTCGTGGGCTACTTACTCACCTGGTCGGGTGCGGGCTCCGCCCAGAACCACCTTTCAGCCAACAACAGGCCGCAGCGCAGCGGGTAGGGCCCAAGGACTGTGTTTCCGTAGCCTAAAGACGTCATGGCCGCCCTATTGACGTGTCGCTGCTGCAAGGAGTTGGCGTGACGTCGTTGCCACAGAGATGTCGTAAAGCAACGCCTCCCCCCCCCCCCCCACCGTGCTAGTGGAGACGCTGGTGCGGGTGCGCACAAACCTCCCGGCAGCCAGGCCCGCGGAAGCGCAGCACGTCCAGTCACGCCCAGTGCGGCGTACTGGGCAGTAAAGGGCGGCCTTCGCGGGGTGCGTGTGTACGATACGCGCTTTCTATCGCTCCCTTGGAGTGCACCGCTTCCGCCTGCCAAGAGGGCTTGCCGGGAGGCGGTGTGCCAGTGACGTCCGCCCGCAGGGGTCCGAGTCTCCCGCGGCCTCCCCCTCTCGTGGGCTGGCGTGCTGCCGTGGCGTTCCACACCAGGACACGCGGTGCAGGCTGTTGCCCCGTTGCCCAGGACGGCGGGGCCGCACCCCCCCAGGTGTGGGTGGGTGCGCTCTGGTGCCGCGCGCCGTGGACTCGCCTAACGGAGCATCTCTCGGGCCTCCCCAGCCCCAGCGTTGAGCACTGCACGACTGTGTTGTGCGTTTGCTGGCCTACAAGGCAGTGGGCGGAACAGCAAAAACCCCAGGAAGGGCGTTCATGAGATGAACTTGAGACAAAACCCTGGAGTGCGAGTGCGCACGTGGGCTCTGTCGCCACACTGCTCCCCTGCTCAGCCTAAGGCCCTAAACCTCGTTTCCTGCCTCGCTCTGTCGGCCACCCCCCCCCCCGGGTTCCACCCTCGTCTTTCTCCTCCTCCCGTCCCTCTGGCGTGCCCGTTTGTAGGCTGTTCTCATCGGGACCCTTCCACACACTTTCCAGTACTTACTGGGCGACCAGTAAGTAGCGCGCACCGTTCTGGGCCAAGGTGGCCAAGCTGGGCAGGGTCAGCCTAGGTAGGCCCTTCAGAGTCCGGGTGGGGAACTTCCCTATCCCGGTTTTTATTGACAAATGGAGGGACGTTTTATTTGCGAAAGCAAACCAAACCAAAAGCACCGTCCTTTTTGTTCCAGGCAGCAGGAGCGAGTTCCCAGTTCCCACCCTTTCTTAAACCAAAAGGGGGTTTCCGAGGAGGAGATTCAGACAAGATGGAGACTTTTTAAACTGGCATCTTGCTTAAATCGCAACGCGTACATTACTCAGTCCACGCAAAGGGGAGGCCTTGGGCGCAGGGCAAGCGGGGCATGTGTTCTGTCTGGGCCACTGACGCAGAAGGCTCTCCCCACCGTCCCTCTTGATCATTTTTGTAAATAAATCGCCGTTTCTTTAGATGAGGCTCCCAGAAGGAGAAGGGCTGGCTGACACAGAAGCAGGACACCCAGGCAAAGACCCGTGACAAGGAGACACAATGGAGGGATCTGTGGGGTAGGACCCTAGGAGAGGCAGAGGGGACAGGCAGGCGGACAGCCACGCAGGCAGAGGGCTGGGCGGCAGCGGCGGAGCGGAGGTCCTGGTCTCCAGCTCAGTGATCCTTGCTAGGGTGGGACCTGGAGGCGTGACCTCGCCTGACGAGAGGGGGTGATGGACAGTTGGCACTTCCCAATGGCATGCTTCAAGGGCGGCGGGTCCGGCCAATGAGCGGGTGGCTGGGTGGGGCCGGGCGGAGGGCCCGCGGCAGTGGCGGGGCCGGGAGTGGGGGCGCGGCGCGAAGGTGCCACTAGGCTAGGCGCGGCTGCTGCGAGGTGGCGCCCCGGTCCGGAGCCGAGCGAACCACAGCGGGGCCGGGGCCCGGTGCGCGGCGGCGGGGCTGCAGCGGAGGACGATGGCTGCGCCCGCTGGGGCCAGGGCAGTGATTGCGGCCCCAGACCGCAGGCGCTGTCTGTGGTCGGTGCTGGCGGCGGCGCTCGGGTTCTGTAAGTGCAGCCGGGCGGGGCTCCGGGGCGGCGGGGACTCTGGCCTGCACTCGGCCCTCATGGGGAGCGGGGCCCTGCGCGCTGGCGTGGAGGCGGGGACCCGGCGGCGCGGCCTGCGCTCAGGGGACCCGGGACCCAGCGGGCGGGAGCACGGCCCTAGGCAACCCGGGAGGCGCTGCGCCTCTCCCTCCTCCTTCCCGGGTCCCCGCGTGTGGGGGAGACGGGGAGCCCTACCTGCTCGGTCCCGGGGCTGTGGGGGAGCGGCCCTGCTCTGCGCTCCCGCCGGGCCCCCTGCGCTCCCCGCGCGGCGACCCGGGGCGCCCAGGCCCGCCTCGGGATCCGGGTCGGGCACCCGGGTCCTGCGTTCTGCACCTCTGGGAGGAGGCAGGCTTCTCCTCATCGATGGGGCCTTTGTTGGTCGTTTCCATGTTTTCAGCGACTGTTTTGTTTCGCCTCGTAAATGCCATTCCCAGGGCTCCCCAGTCCCTTCTTTAAGCCTCCCTGAAGGAAGAGCCCCTCAGGTCTCCCGTCTCGTCTCTGGAGTCTGCGGGGCCCCGGGAGGAAACTCACATTGTTCGGGGTTAGGACGCAGAGACCTAGGAATGCCGTGGAAATGGCCTGGCTGGAAGGAAGCCGGTCAAAGCCGTCATGTTCCCGGACATAGACGCCCCAATATGACGATACATGAGACATTGAGAAGCACATTTAAAAAAAAACATTTATTTTTCTTGCCACATTTCACGGGTCGAACTTAAGGTGAACCTCAGGCCCGACTTACGGAATGGGGTGAGTTGCTCCAGGGACCTCGGAAGCAGTATGTGCTGTCGGACTTCTGCGAGTGGTTCCCAGCCCCCGAGTCCCGGCCGCTGTCTCAGCGTGTCGTTGAGTAACGATTACAAAGCGGGCCAACTCCTAACACACGTAGGCCTCTTTCCATTTCTTGATGTTTTCCAAAAACATCGGTTGCATCACAGTAACTGAATACGGCTTTACTCATAAATTTCTTTCCCGGAAAAGTCCTTCATGTAATATTTGGAACCAGGAAAAGTGTAATTAAACCAGTGATCCCAGGGACTATAAAGTATACATGTAAAAGCACCCCTCTCCCTTTCTGGAGGTTGACAGATGAAGATGTAATTCATTTTTTTTTATAAATGTCTCTTCTGAGAAAAAAGGTTAAACATGTGGGGGAGGGGGTTTGGTGGTGGCGGTAATATTTGTGTTTTAAGAAAGCAAGTAGGAAATGGCTTTAATCTAAGGTTTATCAGAAATCTGGCATGCCTCAGTCAGAATTATCTCGCATGAGGGGTTGCCCATCGCCACAAAGGGCAAGGGCAAAGCCGTCAGGTTGACCTTGATTAAGCTCAGTGGCAGTGAACAACTAAACTGTAATTCATGGATATTAATGACAAAAAGGGGGGTCTGTGAGAGTCAGCAGCCGGTGTTACCAGGTCATTGTAGAAAAATACCGCATGTTTCTCTTTGCCAGGTCACCTTTTCCTGATCGCCGATGTCACGGGGAAAGGTGACTGTGCCTAACAGTCCATGTTTGATGGAAAAATTTCTGGAGTTTGATCCAGGCGCAGCTTTTCGACAAACCTTCATCAGGCACCTTTTCAACATGAAGCACCAGGAGTGCTTCCTTCTAGGATGGAGGCCCCTGCCCTCCATAACTGACAGCTCAGTGGGAGAGGCGGCAGAGGTCTTTTGAGAATGGTGTGCTGCTAGGAACTACACTACGGGGAGAGTCCTCGGCTCAGACCAGAGTCCGCGCCACCCGAGAACGGATGCGGAAGTTGGGGAGGGAGAGGGCGTGTGGTGGTGAATGCACCTGTTGGCACCCCAGGGTGTTGGGGGGCTGCCGTGTGTACGGAGCTGGTGGGAGTCGGGGCAGGGGAACCAGCCAGGGGCACTGACTCACAAAGGGCCTTGTTCGCCTCTCCAAAGGCTGGATTTTATCCTGAAGGTGGGGCGGGGTGGCGGGGTGCTGGGAAGGGTTTCTCTCTGTTGAGATGTGAAGGCTGGGGCGCAGCAGGGTGAGGCTCCCCAGAGGGCAATTGCCGTAATCCAGGGGAGGTTAAAGACCTGAGTTAAAGCAGCAGGATACGGGGAGAGGACACCTCGGAGAGCCCGTTAGAAAGCAAATTCCCCAGGGCTTGGAAATTGGTTTGACGTGGGCCTGAGCGAGGGGGCGTGAGATGATCCCGAGGTTTGGGGCTTGGGAGGCAGGGCCCGTTTTTGTGAGGTGGGGCTTTTCACAGAGGAAGGACGGGGAGGAGGGGATAGGAGTGTCGGTGGAAGGGGAAGTGGAGTTTCTCTCGGCTATGTTGAGCTGAAGGGGCGGCAGAGACATTCCAAAAGAAACTGGGCTGCAGACAGGTGGGGAGAGGGTCCTGGGGGGAGGAGGATGTCCTGGTTGGGAATTTTATGTGGCTCACGGCTAAATTACGGGTTGTTCAGACGAAGTCACCAAGGGACAGTGCAGTGAAGGACGGAGCCGGGGCCAAGGACAGGGCTGTGGGGCGCAAGGCGGCCGGAGAGGAGGCGGCCCAAGGGCTGCGAGAAGAACCCAGGAAGCGTGGCGGCTTGCACACCAAGCGAGAGCAGAGTTTTAGGGGAGAGGAAGTGGCTCACGGTGTTGGGTGGAGATTGGCTACAGTGAGCATTCCCTGCGTCTGGCTGGCCGCTGGATGTCTTGGGTACTAACCCTTAGGTAGAAGGAAGGAGCTCAGAATGGAAGCCAGTCTCGGCCCCCCCGCACCACCCACTCCAGTCAGTGGCAGCACCACCCGCCTGCTCGCTCAGCCCGACACCTCGTCCCTCCCGGACCCCTCCTTGCCCCTCCCTGCCCCTCGTCCTCCACGTGGGCGCCCCCACGCTCCACGTCCGATGAGCTCCCCCACTTCGTTTCCATCCGTGGTCCCCTCCCGGCGTCTCGGTCAGAATCACTGCTGGTTTTGTTCATACGGCTGTGCTGAGCTCCCAGCTGGCGCCCCCACTCCCCCCTCCCGCCCCCTTTTCAGTCCACTCTCCACACAACTGCAAGAACGATTCAGATTAAAAATGCACATCAGCCACGTGCCTTTCTCGATTAGCGTCCTCAGTGGTTTGCCACGGCGCGGAGGCTGCCGGCCGGCTTCCCTGTGGGCTGCGCCCTCCTGTCTGCCTTCCCCTCCGACTTCAGCCGGGGCCCCTCGCCCCCTTCCTGCCACCTGCCTGTGCTTCAGCCCATCCCCACCGCGGGCCCTCTGCCCTTGCAGCGCTCTTTCCCCAGGACCGCCCAGAGCCGTCCCCTCTTTATCCTCAGCATGCCACTCTTTCAGAGGGGACTTTTCCAACCACCTGATCCAGGAGTCCCCGCCCTTTACTTCCTCTCACTGTAATTTCTTACCTGGGTTTTCTTTTTCCCTCCACTAGAATCCAGGACAGTGTTTGTCTTCTTCTTCACAGAGGGGTCTGTAATGCTGTGCATCTGAATAACGATAATAAGTGTTTGTTCCATGGCAGTGAGGTATAGGCGTGTCTTGATCAAGTTTGTCAGTTTGCAATGTGTAGTTAGGGTTCGGCGGGCTCATTGTCCGCACCCAGTGGATGTTTGTTGGTTGTTGGGTGCGCTATTTTTCCCAAGTGTAATTTCATATGTTATCTGATTTGTCCTCACCCAAAGAGACATGCTTATTGCTTTTTAGAGAGAGGAGAAGGAAGGAAGGGAGGGAGAGAAACATCAATCTGTTGTTCTTGTGCCCTGACCGGGGACCGAACCTGCAACCGAGGCTGGGAATCAAACCCACGACCTCTCAGTTTACAGACGCCTCTCTAACCAACGGAGCCACACCAGCCAGGGTGATCACCCAGCCAGGGTGATCATTTTCATTCTTTAAGTGCCATTTCTTATTTCTTCAGAGATGTGCAGAATGAATGAGGATTCTTTGCCTCCTTTAAACACCATAGCTTTGGAACTGCTAGTCATGATGTATTTAAACCGTTTCATCACGCTTGTTGTAACGCCTGAGTGTTTTATCAGTAGGACATTTGACAAAACTTGAACTTGAGACACCGCTGCAGTAGAAAGCCCACACAGCTCACTATCAGTCCCTCAGCCTTTTACTTAGTGACCACCTGGGACAATAAAACAAAAACCTAGATTAAAAAAAAAATGCTACCCCTGGTTTTTATGCTATCTCCAGGATCGTCTCTGGGCTCCGACACTGCCAAGGTGGGAACGGATGTTACAAAGAGGGGTTCCTGAGAAAAGTACAGAAAATGCCATTTGTGTTTTCACAAAGTCTCCAGGCACCATTCAGCCAAAGGAACGCCTCCTGGGTGCCAGGCACCGCCAGAGGCTGGGGGTGCCGCAGGGAGCGGGGCCCTAGCGGGAGCAGCGGACGGCCCGCGCACACCCTCCGAGCCCCCGGGGACAGACCCGGCTCCTCATGGTGCCCGCGTCGAAGCAAACAGTATCCCCCTCTTGTGAAAATCTGCAGTCTTAAAAAAAAAAAAAAAAGAAAAAGAATATTTACTTGCATGATAAAGTAGCTATTTTTTTTAATGTACAAAGGCTCCATTGTGGGAATTTCATCAATGATCTTTTCTACTAAGTTTTTGAGATGTGATTTGACTGGGAAAAACTCGATAGGCAGTTTGTGACAAATCCAAGGTAGGGCCAAAGTAGGTCTACAGTCGAGTGTGAGTTTATTCTCGTATCATTCGTTCTATTCGTTTGCACATGAACTGTAACCCTACTTTGGCCACGCCTTGTATTTCTGCCCCCCCATGTAGTAAGTGGGGTCTGCCTGCTAAACGCTGCACCGTCCGTCAGGCACGTGGTGATCGGAACCTTACAGCCGGAGCCCGGGGGTGCGTTTACACTGTGTCTCCCGGGAATGTGAAAGTCCATGGGAGAGCACGCACCGGACATGCACCTAAGCCTCGGATGCTTTTCCTCTGGCTTCTGAGACCACCGGTGTCGTTTAAAAGGACATAAATGGTTTGCTTTGGCA